CGGACAGTTCGTTTCGACCCGCGATTTTATATGGAGGACAGCGAAATAAAATAACGTCCCTAACTCTACGAATTAGTGTTATAGTTTTTTTTTCTCTTTGATCGTTATCTCCCTCTCTTAACCTCGCGAACCGTGATTACCGCCCTTGCCGCTCGGGGCTGGAATCACGCCGAGCCGTCGTCGGACGAGCCCACGCCGCGTCCGAGGGGCATCCGCACACTCGCGCGCCCCGGACGTGACACAATGTTAGCCAGAATTTAGAAATATACGGAAATAGTGAATATATATGATAATTGTTTGACTTTAGTTTCGATAAGCGTGTGAAATTCAAGCGTAAATCTTGAAAGTACAGTGTACGCACGAACGCGGCTTTATTAATGATGTATTAAATTTTTTAAAAATATGTATCGTCACATATGGAGTTCGATATCTTCGATATAACAAATAATGGGACCGTACCCAATTTTTGGCTTTTCATCTAAGAATTGGAACCCATATGTTACATTAAAGATGTTGGTTTTCGTATGTTACGTTTTATTATCGAGAAAATATTTTTAGGGAATATGTTGTGTGTTTCCATGTTTATTATTTATTCTGACATATTATTATACACAATATTGATATTATGTAGATGTTGAAATTATAATGCCTTAAAATTCATGTTTCCTCTATTTTATTTTTTAATCTAACCTCCAAGCGTAAATAATCAATTAAAACATTGCTCTTGGTAATATTTATGAAAGCAGGGGTGGATCGCTTTTTAAATCTGAAGTAATTAATAATATTGAGGAACGTACGACATTAAATTGTATGAATTAATGCACTGAATGCGATACATATCACGGTCCCTTCTTCTGACATAACATATGTTTAAATATTAGTACCGGTCTTACCCGAGCAGAAATTTTGGTTAGGCTTTAACAGGGACTTAATGAGCATACCCTGACGTCTTATCAGGGGCTTATCAGGTAACCCTAGTTAGTCCTGACGGTAAATGTAACGTCGAGAATTAAAATTGCCTGATCATGTTTTCTTTATCAAGGCCTGATGACTGCCCCTTGTTGCGCATTATGTTTTCTGATAGGGTCCTGGTAGGGCCCCGCCATCGGCCTACTGATAAAATTTAGTTTATAGATTAGGTATGTTTTAATAATAATAATATATATATATATATATATAT